GCGGTTGAGTGAGTAGACATTCACCCGTAGAAGCCTCCTCTGAAATGGCATAGCGTGATAGATAGTCTGCAGGTGGAATGGACTGCGCACTGCGATGATGGATGTCGTAGGAATAGGCGGATAATGTAATACTCCATCGTTATACCACGGCTGCAGAGGACTTATCCAGGGAACGTTGAGGGTTGTAAATGAACTGCAGGGCTTCATGACCACTCATAATAGTGAAATGAGTACCATAAAGATACTTGTGCATACACGTGACAGCCCAATAGACAGCCAGGGCTTCTCGTTGAGTTTGGGAATACCCACGTTCGGGAGCCGTGAGTCTGTGTGAGATGCACAGCACCAAATGACCATTCTGCTCCAACACAGCTCCAATTCCAACGGGCGATTCATCCGTGATGACGGTAGAATGTAATCGTGAGGAGAAAGGACGTAAAACAGCACTGGTGGATAAAAAGGAAAGTAAATTCCTCAAGGCACGTTCATGGACCGAAGTCCACCGAAATGTTTGCTGTGACTGCAAATCATACAATGGAGCAGCTTGGGTTGAAAAGTTAGGGATAAACTTGGAATAGTATTGTAAAGAACCAATTAAAGAACGAAGTTCATGGAATGACTTCGGAGATGGAGCATTAGTCAACGAAGAAAATCGATTAGAGTCAGGACGAAATCCGGATTCATCAACCAAATAATCTAAACAAGAAAGTTTAGTCGTAGAAAAAGCACATTTTCCAGGGTTAATGGAAACATTATGAGAACGGAATCTCTCAAGCAAAGCACTCAAACGATCGTCATGTAACTGTCTGCTAGGCGCATGGACAATAATATCGTCCTGATAGGCACATACACCTTGTAAGCCAGAAATGATGGAATTAATGGTAGTCTGAAAAGTAGCAGGGGAAACACTGAGTCCAAACGGTAGAAAGTTGTAGCGAAATAAACCAAAAGGTGTGTTCACAGTCGTAAGTCACGAGACTTTTGATCAAGAGGAATTTGAAGAAATGCATCTTTCAAGTCTAGATCTAAGAAACATTTGGACCCATGAAGTTGGTGCAGAACGTCTGCTGGTTCGACGGTGGCACAACTGGACTGTTTCAGGTGTCTGTTCACAGTAACTCGACAATCCCCACATATCCTAGGAGTCTTCCCGTCACGTTTTAGTGGAGTAACAATTGGCGTGGCCCAAGCCGAAGAACTTACGGGTTTCAGAACTCCCTGCATACCATTTCATCTAACGCCTTTATCACGGGCTCACGAAGTCCAAGTGGGATAATCCGACGTTTCATAAACACCGGTGAACCGGTCACTTCGAGACTCACAGGAGTCATTTTGATACCACCCTTTGCCTTGGAACACTCAAGTATTAAGTGATGAAGGCGTGATTGATGGGAGTCAGGCATGAATGAAAATGACAGATGCGTACGATTCATACAATTCAAACCAATTATCAAAATGTCAGAATTAATAACCAAAAACGGGCAGTGGAATATTTATGATTTATCGTCTTTAAGAATGCATGATCCTAAGGCGGGCAAAAAATGACAGGTAATTCCCTTAACTGAAATGTCTGTTGGGGAAAGTGCAACTAGGGGGTTTAACTGACGAAATATCTTGTTGGAAATGAAAGAATCAACACGGCCGGTGTCTATAATGAATGTATGGCGAATGGAGTCATTAATGATGAAGTCGCGAGTAATATGGCGAGAGAGACGTGAACTGGTACTGGCTAGAGTGAAGGACTGTAAGTCACACAATAAATCTTTAGAGGAATGGACAGTCGTACGTTTGGTAAGACACGACTTCGCTCTTTTACAACCAGATTGGATATGGCCAAGCTTACCGCGATTGTGACACTTGGCATTTCGAAATCTACAGGATAGCCGCGAATGTCCTTGACCACAGGAATGGCGCTTGTTCCATCTTCGAATCCGTTGGTGATTGTGGGTTGGAGAACTGATTTTGCTTGGTGTTTTCGAGCCCTTTTCGAAAAACCGCTTTTGTTGGGATGGTGACTGTTTGGAATTGCTGGTATTGAACAACAAGTTTTGTTCGTCACAAATGATGGCACGGACGTCTTGGTACTGTTCACAGACTGTCGTAGCCAACTCAAATGTGCAATCGTGCATGAGCAGGAGCTTTTGCTGTAATTCCGGGCAATGAATACCGGCCATTAATCAATCACGTAACTGGGTTTGCAATTGATCTCCGAAGTTGTAACGAGATGCTTGAGTCTGAAGTTGAAGAATAAAGTTCGGTACAGGTTGGCTTCCACCACGTGTGAGTGAATGAAATTTGGCTCGTTCAGCAGCTTCAAAATTAGCCGGCTGTAGATGCTTCAGCACCGAGGTTTTCGGAATTCATATGATAACGATGTGGGAGAGTCAGGAAATGCCAAATTCTTCAACAATGAGAACGCATTATTTCCGATGACCGTTAGGAAATAAGCCGTTTTGCGTTCTCCATCGAGTCCTTTCCGCGTAACACACAAAATCTCGAATCGATCAAGAAAGTCTTTGACTTCGCGCGCGCTGGCATGTATATTCAAGTTCTCCAAATTACAGGACTCCATTGGTTCAAAACGACCGCCACGCCAGTTGTTGTGGTTTGTACTCGGACTAGTATTTCGTATACGTATCGGATTCAGCGCACTAATGATCCGACCCAGAACTAGGACTCGAAACAAAATCAGAAGTCAACTCAGAGATGGAATGGAATTATAATATGCGGAAATTAGAAATATACAAGTATATCGTGCTCCCTATAAGCCGATCTGATCTATTTCGCGAGACCAGGAAACATTACCACGCTATCATTTCCTTTGTCCGTTGAGGATGGCGAGGTGATATCAAGCGTCGATTTCCGGAATTCTGTAAACGTCGTGANATGGAATTGTAATAGGCGGAAATTAGGAATATACAAGGATATCGTGTTCAATAAAACAAAAGAGTTCATAGTTCACCACCACATCACCATCACCATAGAAAAATGATGTGGTCGAATCATGGAGCCCTTCACAGTGGACCATATTGCTGCTGTGCAAGCGTTGATGAAAGCGGATGCGCGGATGCCAGTGGTACATCGGGCGAAAGTCATCGGGATCAGAAAAGTTTGCACACCTTAGGTACTCTATCAGCTCAGTGAAGAACAGAAAGCAGTTCGGATGAATTGGTACTGCGCCCTACTTGCCACGATTGATGGTGAACTTTCCAATGCAGTTGGGGAGTTCATCAACACACGACAAGTGCGAGGTGCAGACAGATGACCGGGCAAGGAAGACGTCAATTGTAATCTCGTATTATGAATATTATTCAGTGTGGTTGCAACTCACAGCTGAGTGCACAAGTCATACGAGGGTCGCTATGCGCTCGGACTGCATGGATGGCAATCAGTCGATGCGACTGTAGAGAGCGATGATTTTCTACAAATTAAAAATATGCTTNCATCAGAGTGCTGATCATTTGTGAATTGCCTTTGGCGAAGCAGTGTGTTTGCATGGACTGCGAAATTCAAGCATGGAATGAAATTGTGATGCTCAATTTCGTGTTACACACACGTCAAACAATCTGTTCATCCGGAAACATTTATTTCAGTCCTGGTATTCAATCGAGCGAAAGAAATATCTTCACAAGTCTGATGTAACGGTGGCTCACTTTTATCACAAAACGCGCAGTTGATTGCTCACAACTGACTCAATCAGATCCGGGCCGGGTTGGAGCGGGGGGGGGGGATTGCGTTCTCNTGCGTTCTCTCAGAACAATTGTCTGTCCTACTGTAAATTTGCATTTAAGTGAAAATTGCTTTCTCACACAGCTCAAATGGACTGGATTAAATTTTGTCTGTTCACTGAGCTTCGGTAGGAATCGGTTTTTCTGTCTTTTTGCAAAACATTTCTTCTTCCTCTCCGACCGAAATGACATCTTCCGTGCCGAGGCCGTAGAAAAAAAAGGCTCTCAAATTATGATTGTATGTGGTCAGTCCGATCCGTGTCAGGTGGGAGCTTCGTGTTACCGCATATAACCGCATTCAAGTCTCATCTTCGGCAATATGGACCAGGTACAGTGAATTTCGATTACGTAACAGCTTTTCTATTCTGTTCAATTTTCAAATGAATTGCGTGAACAAAAGGATTATGAACCAAAATCGATCGATAAACGCCTCGCAACATTTGTCATATGTTCTTTTGCTATTCCAGTTGTTATTGTGAATATGTGTATAGTGTAACGTATACACCAAACACTACCATAGTTGTTTTGTTCACTAACCAAGTTACAACGGATTCGACTAACTTGAAGTAGCATCTACTGAGTCACCATCGTTACCCGGACAGACTCCGTTATTCGCTGTACTTTCTTTTTTTTGCAAATTAAAAAAATTTCCATCCCAACTCAATTATCAATTCGGCAAATGAATAATCAATTTTCAAGCAATAAGTTTGTTAATAGTTTTTGAATTTTTGTTTCACGGCTAGTACTACTGTTTTTTTCCGATTTTTCGTTGAAATATGCTTGTCCTACTAAAAGCAATAAAACAGACAGGCTAATGAAACAATTCCTCTTATACATACACGCATTTCGCCTTTTTTTTTCTTTTCTCTAGCAGTTATTTTATATTCCGTCCTGATCAATGGGAACTACTATTTGGTCCCATTTACGTCATCTCTCTCTCTCTCTCTCTCCCTGTCTGGTTTCGCTATGTTGCTACCGGTCTCCGCCACTTGTCCGGATTTCCTCCCCCCCCCCCCCCCCCCCCCCCGCCCCGCCCCGAGCCCCTCCCCCTTAATTTTTTCCCTACACGGTCCCGTTTGTTGTCTGTCATCCGCATAGTAAAACACGAGAGAATTTACACGGAAATTGGGTCCGTCCATTTGGAAATCGTTTGGCCGATCAACCAGTCGATAACAAGAGGAACATAGACTAAACAATAACATGGAATAACAGAACATAGCGAAATAAATTATTTTTTGTTCTTTTGCCGTTTCAGTTACTTTTGCTCTGGAAAAAGAAAAAAACAACAACTCACATTCATTTAGTTCGGTGGAAGATGTCTGGGCGCCAGCGTGCTCTTTGAAAACTGCTTTGTTCCGGTGTAACCAATCAGAACATCGATGGACGATGAACTCAGGTGATTGATCGGAACCACCAACCAATCAAGATGGTTGACAACAATTCAGTTGGCCTATCATTTGATATATGCATTTCCCTGTCCTCGCTCTTTCCTATAAATAACTGTGATTGTGGTATAATAATAAAATAAATTTCTTGCACTCTTCCAGCTGTGTTCTATTTCCCTGCCTGTGGAGTTCTTAACTGGACGGGGAAATGTTACCGGAAGACGATCTTTTGAGAATCTACTATTGAGAATAGACTGTGCGGTTTGACCGGTAGCTAATTGTTGTTTTCCTCCTGTTGTTTTATCATTCATGTGGTGATCCGTCCGGCTTCATTGTCGGACAGAATCATCCGTTTATTCGGTCAACTGCAGCCACGGAGAATACCAAACCGGCTCCCGTTAGACTGCACTATGATGTGTTTCACGACCATCAACCCTCCAACAGGCATGAGACTGATGGAGGGCTTGGTTGGTCGTATAGTGCATAACAGGCGTATATGATACCCCTCTGTACCAACAACTGGTCAACACTGGAGCTAACGGGAATTGTCGGATTTCGTCTGTTGAAATGGTGTTCTCGACGAAATCCGGATCAGGGCATGGATAGGATAAAATGCGATAAAATTGGAGGCAACTGTCAACTGTACCCCAGCTTCGACCCCAAGTCAACATCATTCATCAATTATCAGAATCCATTGCCAAATGACCATTTTTATATGTGAGTAGGAAAAATAAGAAGCCTCATTTGAAGTAGTCGCATGTCAAACACGGACGCTCGGAGAACAAACAATCGGCCAATATTTTGTGCAAAACCTTCCAATATTTTCCAACATTGCACTATTGACAACAAATCTTCCAAGTGAGTATATACAGAAACACAAAGTACTATAAATGTGTCCTACAGATAGACCTTCAAATGAAACTACATTTCAAACTCAAACCACGGTTTCGATGTCCTCAACTCTTTCTTTTTTCATTTTCTCACTTTAACTCCTCCTATTATATATATATATATACATATATATATATACAATTTTCAGGAAGGGGGAAGCGGCCAATCAAAGGGCTACCATTCAACACACAATGGGGAAAGTTAAGCGGTGGTGATGGGATTCGAACACACATCCCCGGGTTGATAATTTACCGATATTACCACCGGACGACCACCGCCTCACTTCATTCCAGTTGGAATAGGTGTATGTATGTGGTCAGTCGTTATCTGAACGGGTACGAGAAAGGACACGAGCGGCTAGAGTACGAGGGTTGAGCAAAACGGCTCCGACGACTCAGTACACGACGAGTACGAGGTGTAGACAGATGACCGAGCAACGAAAACGTGAGCTCTATCCAATGATCAATGTTGTTCAGTGATTGCAACTCACACAGAGAGAACCAAATATCAACACAGCCGAGAGCACAGCTCACATGTCATACGAGGCTCGCGATATACTCGCTCAAACTGTAAGAATGAAACTCAATGGATGTCATTGGAGGGTGATGATTTTCTACGACTACCAAATGTAGTGTAATTTAGCAGCAGCAACAGCGGAGTCCTGATCGTTTGTGAACTGCCTTCATGATGACTGGCCTTGAAGAAGCATTGTATTCCCAAATGTCAAACGCATAATGCGTGGAATCCGATTCGCGTCACCAGCAACTGTAGTGAAGTCCTTTATTAATCCGGTCGACGGGTTAAACCCATTTCGGCATGGTCAATCTGTATCAAATAATGGCTT